AACCCGGTACAGATGCACACACAGACACACGTACACACACAGACAACCACTCGTCAGTATGCGTTTCTGCATTGCATAGATGCAAAAAACGCATAAAAATAAATACAGGCGCGCACCAGGGTAACTGGTGCGATCATGCGTTTTGCACAATTCCGTCCAGCCGACGTTTTCCTGCTAAAAATATAACTACTTTACACTTTCGTGCGTGAAAAAGTAGTCGATATTCTATCTGGCTCCTAAGCTAAAGAATTTCCCACTGAAAATTTCACGTGCAGGTGCATAAAAGCTGAATTTTAAACCTTGGACGGGGGGAGGGGGGCATCCTCTCAAATTTCAACCTCCTAATTTTTCGGCTCCCGATTTAGTAGTTTTGGCATCAAAACTCTCACGTACGTAAGACCTCGCCGTAACTGCGAGCTAAATTTGAATTTGTGAGATATTTGCACAGGCAAGCTCCCGAAATAATAATTTTTCCCACCAAAGCTTTCGTGGGCCGCACAAAAGATCCAAGCGTAAATGAAAGCTGAATTTGATTTTGCGAGGTCGAATTCTCTCCAAATTTCAGCTTCCTGTCTTTTACGGCTTCCGAGACAGTAATTTTTCCCACCGAAGTATTTGCGGGGGCATAACTGAGACCTAGGCTTGACTGAAAAATGATTTTGAATTTCGGGGTTGTACTTTGGAAGGAAACATTCTCGTTCAACTTCACCTTCCTAGTCTCCGTGGTTCCCCAGATAATAGTTTTCCCCGCCAAAAATTTTAGGAGCCCGTATGTGTTACCCTCGGCCACGGGAGGGCTGAATTTAAATTTGCGAGGTCACATGTGGGCGGAGAACATTCCTCTAAATTCTCAGCCTCCTAGCTTTTGTGGTTCTTGAGCTGAAATTTGCAGGCAAGATGCATCAGGAACGGAAAAACAAACACACAAAAACGCACAAAAACAGGAGAAAAGTGACAGGAAGGCGAACCTTCGGCCTGCAGTTTTTTTAGTGCCTGAACGCGTCTCTTAACGCTCTTCGGTAGCGCAGTGATGAATGCCTTCATATCATTCTCGCACGGATGTGGCGGCTTTAGCTGCGGGGGAAGCTTCGACTCCATTGAGACCTACAATACGTCAAAAACAAACCCAGCAAGCAGATCACATCACATGGATAATCCACATTAAACGCTGCACACATATATCCCCAATCACCTGATCCAGCCCCAACAGTATTAGCCGAGGACATGAAAAAGGTCAGTATTCTTTAAAAAACAGTACAAACGTGGAGTCGATAATAACTAAAGAACAGTTAGAGTTATGAGAACATATTTTCGCCAGACGCCAACAGTACCGGTCGTTTAGCTACCCCTGACAGCATCCACGGTTCTGCCTCACGACGCCCCTTCTCTCTGTCCTTCCTCTTCCACACACCAACGCGGGCTGTCTTGCGTTCCTTTCTCGATTCGCACATCCAACTACATCTCAATTTCCATGCCCCACTATGCACAGTGTTATAAAGCTGGTTTGGAACAGTGCCAATAATTTTCCTCGTTTCTCACTGAAACTGAGCCCTCGAGACGCAAACGGCTGCTAAAGCGAGGCAAAAAATTACGAGACTTTCTTGCCACACTTGCAGTTCATAGGTGGCTGGAGGGAAGACAGCTCCTCCGTGCGGTCCGGACGAACAGATGTCCTGGCATTAAAACTTGTGTTCTTTTACAGCAAACGCTTCAGCAGCCTCGGTGAACACAGCGAACGAAATACTCCCGGCACTTTTACAGCCCCTTTGCAGGCAGAAAACGTTGTGGAGCAAGTTAAAACAACGAGCTCGCTAGGCTGAAAGGCATGGCCATGTTGGGTGCCCGGCTAGCGTCCCGCACAGGGAAGCCGCCCTGACGGATCTGCACGCCAACTGCCCAATTCAGAAATCCAGAACAACCACCAAGAAAAGACCACGACAGCCCCCTCCTTCAAGCCTACCATCCACAACGCAACCACCCACCCAGCTCCTTCTAAAACCCAACTGGCAGGGCTGCGCCGGCCTCTAACGCTCAAAAAAGCCGGTGATTCACGGCTCGGACGGAGAACACGCTCACTGGGGCCCGACCAGACGGGTAATTACTATACCTCGGTTCAGCTCGACTCGGCTGTTGTCCTAGCTTCTCTGCCAGAGCTGTTTCGCGCCGTTGGTCGCCGGCGCACCTTGCCAGGAGCGCTGGATAGGGCAATTACAATAACTGTCTGACGCACGGGCTGCCCGTGCGAAGATGCGTTTTTTGCACAGTTCCCAGCAGTTTCTGTCACTGCCGGCACCGGTTTTTCCGGCAAACGCTTCCAGCTAAACAAATTAAGACTGGTCGCCAGAACTGTCGGAAAACACCCCCTTAAAATTTCAGCTTTCTAGCTTTCCTGGCCCTTGAGTTAGCAACTTACCTAAAAAAAACTTCAACGAGCCCGTACGTAGGTACCACGCATACTCGGGGGCTGGGTTTGAGCTCATTAATACCTGCTTAGCCGAGGAACATTCCTTCAAAATTCTAGTCTTCCAGTTTCTCAGGTTCCCGAACTAGCAACTTACACGAAAAAAACTTTCACGGGCACTTACGTAAGTACCACGCACACCCGGGGGCTGGGTTTGAGCTCATTAATACCTGCGCGGACGGGGAATGTTTTCTTAAAATTTCAGCTTTCCAGCTTTTCTGGTTTCCGAGTTAGCAACTTGCCCGTAAAAAACTTTGGCAGGCCTACACGTGGGTACCACGTAGGTAAGAGCGCCCACTTTGGGGATGGGGGCCCATCCATGCATGTAGATTAAGTTCCCAAAATTTCAGCCCCGTAGCTTTCGTAGGTCTCGAGATGAAAAATGGGTACAGACGAACACACAGACAATCCCTCGTCGATATGCGTTTTCTGCACTGCATAGCTACAAAAAACGCGTAAAGACTCGGCTTGCCTCAGCTGATGATCGGTGGTGTTTGGGTTTTCCTGCGCTTTGCTCTAACATCTCTGACAAAACTATTTCGCATCGCTGCTCGTTGGAACTTTGCCAGACGCACTGGTTAGCGTTGCCCAGTGTCTGGCGGCTTGATCGCGTGGCCAAGGGCTGATGGGTACGAGGGTTGAACGTGGTAGGGGGTGTTGGTTGATAGGGTGGGGAAAGGATACAAGAGGGAAAGAAGAGTGCTCCTCAGAAGTTCGAAGTAAGAACTGCAGATAGCAGTAAAGAAGAAAATAAACCAACACGGCACTACAAAGAAAAGTAAATTAAAACAAACTTGAATTTGTGAATAAAAGAAAAACCCAGGCTGGGACGCACCAGGCCGGCCGATGCGATTATACGTTTCTGCACTTTTCGTGCCGTAGCAAAATCGCAAGGAACGCAGTAGGTAGCCCTGTGACATACTGACCCTCGAAGTTTGGGAAGTTAATTGTGCAGCTATGTGGCATGTCAGTTATAGTTTTCGACTTCAGTGACCCGACAAATGGAAAATTGCTGGCCAGCGAAAAAGGCTGCACCAGAAGAGTTAAATTTAAAATCTTTAGTCGCACATGAGTAGGGGACATTCCCTTAAAATTAAAGCCTTCCAGCCTTTCTCGTTCCCAAGTTAGAAGTTTTCCCATCAAAATTTTCACGTATCCGTACGTGAGTATCGGACGGTTTTAAGGATCTGAATCTGAAATCTTTTGGTCGTACATGAATGGGGAGCAGTCCCCCAAAATTTCAGTTTTCCAGCTTTCCTCGTTCCCGAGTTAGTGATCTTCCCGCCAAAATTTCCACGTGCTCGTACGTGGGCTCGGGGCACTTCTAAACACCTAATTTTGATCGTAATGAGAAGGGAACACTCCCCCAAAATTTCAGCTTTCTAGCTTTTCTCTTACCCGTGCTAGCACTTTTCCCGCCAGAACTTTCACGTCTTGTACGCGGGGACTGGGCGGTTCTGAGGAAGTGAGTTTGAAAACTTTTGGTCGTAAGTAAGTAGGGAACATTCGCCCAAATTTTCAACTTTATAGCTTGTTCCGAGTTGTGAATTTTCCCGCCAAAATTTCCATGTGCCCGTACGTGAGTCCCGGGCAGTCCTGGGCAGCTGAATTTGAAATCTTTTAGTCATGCATGGACAGGGAACATTACCGTAAGATTTCGGCTTTCTAGCTTTTCTCTTATCCGAGTTAGTACTTTTCCCGCCTAAACTTTCACGAACTCGTACGCGAGGCTCAAATGTGCTTGAGGGTTGATACTGCGGTCCCGGCGTGACACCTGGC